ATATATATATATATATATACTGTCAACTGAACCAGTTGAAAACTCACCATAGATTCTCAATCACCAGTTCTGTTACTTCTGTCGTGTGTACATATTGTTTTGAAAGCCAGCAGGTGTAGACCGAGTTGTTACCATCAGACCATAACGTGCGGAGTCTATTTGGTTGGGAATCTGGGATGAATTCCCCAACAGAATGTAAAACTACACGTGCTTCTTCACCGGATCCTAAAACAAGTTAAAAAGAACGCGCTGGGAAGGTTGTACTAACCAGTTTGCAAGAGATACAAGAATTCTCTGTTCCTATCAGCACTAAGACAATGGCTATGATGCTGACCGGCCCCATGGATTGATGCCCAACTCACCTTTTAGCCGGAATTTACGATGCATTCCGTTGTCACATATCAGAACAAGTTCAGTTTCGTTCGTCCCCAAATTTACTGGATTGAAGCAAAGATCTATTTCCACTTTGGCGTTGACGTTTAGGTGGAAACAGGCAGGTTTGAGACTGAATGCATCAGCTTCTAGGCTGTTTGAATTTTCAACGGTTGTGAATTGTTCCTTTATGCGTATCAAATGGAGGGATAATGGATAGTTTTAAATACATTCATAATTGAGAGAGAGGAAAAATGATGATTTTGATGTCAATGGTGACGTTCACGTTCAAAAGGATGAACACAGCTGTGCTGTTATTTGAAGAAAAAAAAAGGTAGTCAAACCTTCACGCGAGGTCAGAACCAACCTCTTCGCTGGCAACGGACTTTAGCAGTCAACAAGGCTGCATAGACTCTATTCGCCCACGCAACCCAACTGATCGATACGCTGAGCAGTTCCGCTCGTGACAAGCACTTAGGACGTTTACTTTGTCTTAAATTACGAGAAATCACGTGCCTATCGTTATACGTTTCCCTTACTAGCCCGATAATGACAAGAATTACTAATGAGTAGTTTCCTTTATGAAAATATACTGCGATATCTCGAATATCGTGCCAACTGAATCATGAGGCGGCCTGTGTGCAGCACATTCAGCTGGAAGATATCATAAACGAGAGATTCAATCGAGTATCCCGTGAAACCAAATTGATTTGCAAATGAGTGTATTTCTCGAAGAAGTACTTAGAATTATTTGTTCGATTTCTCTAGAGTGCCCTTTTCATCCGACACATTTAGGATGAAAATTTTACCAGCACGCCCTTTTATTGGAAACCACTAGATCACTGTGCAATTAAACAGTTCGTCTTTGTTGATGTTGACGGTTTAACCGCTGAACTTAGAAGAAAAGGGTTTTTGAACTCTGATTTCCACTTCACTTCTTACTTTTTCGTCTCCCACCATCTTTTCCAATATGTTATCTCTGTTTTTTTTCATCCACTGGAATGACGATACTTGCTTCCGTCATTTAATCACATCAATTCCAACGCTTTACAACAGTTTCAATCCAACGATAAAAGGAGTACACACTACTGGAAACAATTTCAATACTGTTTCCTGAATAACCGAAAGTATTGCAAATACCTAATAGGATGACAAACGAGAGACTCTTCTTAAAATTTAGCAGAACGCCCATCTTCTACAGGGGTTAATTAAAGTATGAAGTGAATATATTCACAGGCGTGTATATTCCACCCACTATAGTTCAAAACCTCGATTTTTATAGATATATTCACCCGTTTAAATTACCTTCGAAGTGGAGAAAGTTGGAGTAGGTTGAAAAGATCTACCCTGGGATATTTAAAATATACCTTTTGAGTAAACCAAAATTAACATCAGCGCACAATAGAAAAGGTTTGGGAAAACACGTCAAGTCAAATACCCTTAGTGCGGAAGAAATGAGTGACATTAGAGCTGGAGCTCAAACCCGAAACAGTTATGAGTCCTCAAAAACTGAGCTGTAGCATATGATTCGCTGAGTCATTCATATTCACTTGGACTGCATTATCTCACCACCAAACGAGTCAATAATCAAAGTTAGTCGCTGGTGGGAATTTCACAACTGGACAGTATACACAATTGCAAAATTATCTAACAAGCATTATTTTCAAAATGATGTCACATGGTGAAGAATACAAAGCAGTTGAAGGACTGACGACGAAAAATAACGCGAGTAAAACGGCGGACGTACTGCACATGTTAATCTTGCTTGAGTAGACCTGACACTGCTCTAGTGCGATTTTTTGGTGAAACTAAATCGACGAAGTGAATCTGCCATTATGGAAACTGCTGGACATAGAGCTCCAGACATCGAATATGTAGTGCTTGCATGAAGTCCTCGACTTAAGCTGGATGTGGCCAAATTATCGGGTTTGAATATACGATGTGATCAAAATGCGCAACGATCAATGTTTGGCGTTCCAGACAGACCAAACATCTTTCGACTACTCGCACATTACAATTCAGTTGTTTGACGGCTCACAGGAATAAAAAAGAATCCAAAAGCGCTACTCTAACCCTAACACGAGGCCCACCAATCTTGTCGTCAACACCAGTAGTTAGGGACATTTTTGGCAAAAGCAAATCAATTTGACTACTCATATTCTGTCACATCACTGTGAGTTTTGTATTACTTCGAATTTCCGCAGACCGAGGTTTTCATATGCATTGTAGCTCTTTGGACTCATTATAATAAATCGGCCAGATGCATCAGCTTCCTTGTTTTTAAGCTCCAAATTGACACGAATTGTTTTCTTGCTTCCGAGTAAACACGATCCGAAAGAGTAAAGCTCTGACACTGTGGGTGGGTGGGGAGGCAAATGGAAGGAAATAGCAAAATCAGTGACGAGGACATAGACACTGATGGCACAAGTTCTTTTCCGCATTATCGGAGCCAACTCTGTGGAAGACGTAAAATATGTCTAAAAATGTGTATTACTGACAGGAAATCAATTGCCAGTCGTTAATTTGTTTCTTCTTTTAAACTAAAGCAGCCGCTAAGGCAAAGTGATTCTATCATTGTTGCGCCTATCATGTCTTCCCCTGTCAAAAACCTTAGGGAGACACCTGACATTGTTACACTGTCTTTTCCACCCACGCAAACTGTCCCATTCCTCGCACATATTGGTTTTATGGCAGTAGGTTTGAAGCAAACTGATGGGATTGACATGAAAATAGACACTCGAGATAGAAAGTATCCAATCAGTCGCTCATAGGTAGTTTTAACTACTCTTTGTATGAATGAAGTTATTTTTATGTCCTGAAGAAGCGCAGCACATTGTTTGTCCCATTGTTTATTATCCAAAACAGAACCCAGCATTGAGTTTTCTCCAACATTCCTGTTAATCACCACAATTGTTTCAGGCTTAAGTGTGAATAGATTCGCCCATACTGACGTGATAATTCAGCCACATTCATTGGAACAGCCGCGAAGTAAACTCCTTGCATTTGATATAACAGAAAGTCGAATTTCCGTGTGGGTTAGTATGCGAACGTAGGTGAGCTCTAATGGTAGCGAAACTCGCAAAACTTGCCTCCGGCCGTAGGTTTGAACCAAACAGAACTGTTGTGCTTCAATTGTAGATGAACTACCATGCTGTTTACTACCAATATTTTATCTGTATCATTTCATCCAAGAGGCACTGCACAACTGTTGCGTCCATACTGAGAATAATCAGCAGTTCGCATCTCACGAAACTCACTAGTTTATAACCTGCAACCCTCTGGCCATTTGTGTACGTTTCTCCTCGAGTCATGCTTTTGACGTTTCAAACATCCTCCGTGTTCGTGGTACAAATGTGCAGGCTGCGGGCTAAACAGTTTTAACTTTTCTCTACACAACACCGCTTGTGTTGCGCTCTGGTGGGTCAGTTTCCTCATAAAAAGAAATCTGCGTAAAGTGTGTTGGAATGGACGGTCTTAAGACTGCTTGAGTTCAAAGTTATCCTGCCGATTAGAAAGATATGTTTCTTCTGTTGAACTCGAACCCCCATACTTTTTTGCTTCATACAATTTATTTCGAAGCCCTGTAGCGTGTGATGATGCTCTGGGCTTAAATTGATCACGAATGACGTGAGTATAATTACTTTTCATCTCGATATTGTCGACTTATCAGATTTGCAAAACCCTGTGAAAGAGGAACGGTAAATTCAATTAGTAAAACAGCCCCTGGAAGGCGACTGGCACGAGTATGTCTTTGATATTGCACTCTCACTGCAGAGCAATCAACATCACGGGACCTTTATTCCGGGTATTCCTCAACTGGTATCCGCTTTTTATTTGAGGAGTTGCTGTCTGTGTATATTACTCTTATTGGTCCAGACGACTCTCACTGTTCGCTGTTTTTGTCCACCTAACGGTTGTTGAGTTGATAATTTGAAGTGATTTAAATATTGCACCAAAAGGGTAAAGTTTGAAAGCTGCCAAAACTTCGTTCTATTCGCGTAAACCGAGCTCCACTAACAATCAGTAGAGCGTAAACGGGATTATATAAAATGACGGTCGAAACCAATCAAGGGGTGAGCTAGTCAACTCCGCATATCACGGTCTCCTGCGGGTATGGGCGCTGTTCATACCGGTTGGCCAGCAGGATCTTACAAAATACTGACACGTTTGGCCTGACATTTCAGAGTAAGACCCTAAGGTATTTTTTTGCGCCAACCTGGTTTCCCAACATATCTTTCGTGACCGATTAGGCAGCCATCTGAGCTTCACCTTGATCTGCCCCGTTTGACTGATCAGGCGTTCGATTCAAGTGGCGAACCACGTCCCGAAGCACGTTCACATGAGCAGCAAATGAGTACCGAATTTAAGGTGACATGCAGAGATCAGGAATCACTTATCATTTTTGAAACTAACAGCGATGATGAGGTTCAGCACGGCCAATTTGTTTGCCCCCTATCCGTTAGATAATATCACACGTGACACTGCTGTATTTCAGGCAAAATCCATTGACGAGACTGCTGGATAAAGAAACGGTCAGTCACAACAATTTCAGGCCCACTGCAAAAGGTTTTTGGCTCAGAAGGATACTCTGTTGGGCTAATTAGAGTTTCCCTTTTCTGGCTTACAAGAGGGAATTTACCGAAGTAACTGTCCTGAGATTTTAGAGCCAGTCTGCTCAGATAGTAAACTTAAAGGTGACAGAAGCACAGCTTAGCTCTATGCAGTTGAAAGCATAGGTTAGAAACAAATTCTCTTATGCATGTTCACCAGCTAACAAATGGCTGGACAACGTATAATTTAACGTGTACTTTAAAACGTCTTCCACTGGTGATTAATACGGACATCCAGTTCTTTTAAGATCGTTGTCAATAAAAAGAAATGTCACCCAAAGTTGTTGACCTTCAGTGGTCATTGTTTGTACGGAGAAACTAAGGACTTTACAGATCGGACACAACCATAAAAAAAACTCACAGGTGAGGTCAAGTCTTGTTCTTCTTGCAACAATTGGAATGATCAGCGCTTGAGGGTGAGCGTCTTGTTCGATTAAAACTTCGTCTTCATAGTCTCCGAGAGTATCAGGTGCGAACTGAATGGTAAGGATGCAAGCCATCCCTGGCGCCACAAAGTTGTTTTCTTCCGTTGGAAATTGGACTCGAAGGAATGAGAATGAGATTAGGAAACACGCTCTTTAAAAACAGTCAAGAATTTTATCGGAATATTTACTCCAAACAGCAGCCATACACTGTGGACGAAATAAGGCACAGTGTGATATTAAACCACCGACCCCCCCCCGCAACTTATAATTATTTGCCCTACGGATGCACACTCGTTGGAGTTTCTCAAGTCTCTTTACGTATTTATTTCGATAACAAAACATACACATTAACTGAACCGAGTTTGTAACCAAGCCCAGTGCACCCATGCAATATGGTATAATTAGCGATCCAGACTACTACCCACCCGGTCGCTCGGATCCTATTAGGATGAAACTAGTCCGATGCTGTCTACTGCGCTTAATCTGATATGACAAATTAAGCCACTCACATACGTCACAGTGACGTTACTAACTTGTCCTGATGGAGCACTCCTCATATCCGATACTATCTTAACTGTGAGTAACTAACGGTCAGGTTGAAATGCACCGCAATATCGGTAGCTCGGGTGTGTAGTGGTTGATTTGTCGTCCAAACATGAAAGTTAGCTGGAAGAAGTTCTGATCACCAATCGAGAGGGCATCATCAGTGTGAGTAAATCTACAGCCACCTGATCAAATATCAGTAAAGGATAGGAACTGTGAAACCGAGCGTGGGAGTGAACGGGGGGAACATCTCAAAAATCATGCCCCACTTACTTTTGCTGAGAGAGAAATATTTGGTCTTCGGGGGTAGAACTCGTAGAGAATGTGATACGGTCGTCACATTTTTAACTCTGATATCCATCTGAATATATACGCACATATATACAGGAATGAATGAATGAATGAATGTCTTATCACCTTGTACAAGGCCCCCACACAGTAACTCGTAAAGCACAATGCTTTCGGATCTGCCACAAACGAATCTTTTGTTGCTTCCACAGAAGTTTGTTCTTTGTATCGTGGATTTTTCGGATAGTTTTGCTAAATCGGAAACAGTAGAAACAAGACAACAGTTAAAAGAATGGACGGGTGAGAAACACCATACTGATGTGGCCCTAAATCATATGAAATCTGGTTAGCTTGATAAATATTTTGTTCGCTGTTTATAATGAGAAAAATAAGAGGATATTAACCAGCCATACAACCACTAAATAAAAGATAATAATAATAATAATAATAATCATCGACAGCAAGACATCAGTGTCCAACACCGATGCTTCACTGCCGTACAACCATGACTTATTTGAAAGTCTTATTGTAATGAAAAGGGTAAAGGTGGACAGGGAAGAGCATTAGTGCTAGCTTAACACAATCATTCCGAGGTGCCTACGCCTCCAGACATTCACTCAAGCAATCTGGATAGAAACTGACAACAAGAACGCCACTGACATTGGTTGGCAGGCATATCTTGTACTGTCACCAACCAGGCACAGTGAGGATCACGCGGTCCCCATACTGGAAGGCGAGTAGCACCAACAGCACCCAAGCGTTTCGGGATCTCCTTCATACTCTTCTGTCAAGTCAAGGGTTGGCCACCTCTCTGTTTACGCCACTCCGAATTGGGCATGGAAAACAGCACTCTCCTCGTCAGACGATGGTTCGGCATACGTAACACATGTCCCAACCAACGCAGCTTCTGGTGCTGGACACATTCTTTAATGGAAGTACCGGTTGCACAACCGAAAACGTGCTTTCTAACTGCCTCGTTACGGATTTACCGACACCAACATACACGAGTTATGGTTCTGAGACAACGATTGTCGAACACCTGAAGCCCTCTCAGGTCCGCTGCTCGAATAGGCCAAGTCCCACAGCCATACAACAAAACAGCCCGTACTGTAGCTTGATACACACATCCCTTCAGACTCATGGATAAATCATTCTGACGCCTTAGGTGTCTCAAGTTAGCAAACACGGCCCGAGCCTTTCAGGTTCGTGCATTCGCCTCATCTGTAACACTGCAATCAGAACTAATACAAATTCCAATATACGTAAAACGCTCCACAACTTCCAGTGCCTCTCCCTGGATCGTAAGTGGCGTGCTCAGTGACTGCATGTCCACAAGCATGACCTTACACTTTGTAGGTGCAAAATGCATACCAAAGGGCGGTGGTTAGTGCTTTATATCAACCATCACCTCTCTACCGCTTCATGACTAACGGATGGAGTCATTCTCTCTACAAAAATTGCTTTTGAGAGAAGAAAACCTGGTATTTTACCGGGGCTGTATTTATACGAGGGTATCAGATCTCCCTACGAACTGGTCATCCAAAGTATTTTCGTTTGTTATGGTCTCCTCACTTATTCCGTTGTACAATTAGGTAATACCTCACATCTAGAATCATGTCAAACCAATAAGACTTGTAGCGTGAAAAATAACGTTGTTTAGTTTTCTAATAGAGCATTTCCCACATAAAATGACTTTGCCTAAGGAGACCAGTCCGCAGGAACTTGATAGTTCGTAGAAGATTCATTGGTTCGGAATGCCACTCCGCCTAAATTTAAAGCTAATAATGTTCACACATTTTTAACACAGTTCCCTCCCTACATGAACCTCCACTGCTGCACGACCTGATTGGACATCTGGTCTGTTTCCGTCTGCACAATTTAGCACTCACATTAGCGACCCGTTTGTCAGCTTTCACACCGTATGAAAGGCAGAATAAACAGCCATAGAACATTGCTCAGCATGTACTAATAACACGCCTTGACTTGTGCCATCGGCATACCTAGTGCCTGCGTTTGGAGCTAATAAATTTCAGAAGGTACCGTTGAAAGTTGGTGAAAATAACGCATCAGTGTCAAAGCAAACGCGTAACACCAAGTTTGTGGACCGAATGGGCACTCAGGCGTCTCAGGCGAGGAAAGATACACTTTGGAACCGTTTTTGTGGGAATCAATCTTGAGTTTCTGATACGAATCATAAGTTTGTGTCGCGTAAAACCAATGTGGTTTATTGTAGGAAAATATGCGTTTGTGCGAAAGTAAGGCGAAGAAGTCGCCTTGCAGATTTTCAAGGCATTAGTTTGACACAAAGTTGCCGTTGAGGGCAATACTGGTACACCCTGTGTAAAGCTGAGCTACTTGGTTACGGAGATTTCCCCACCAGAAGAATTTGAATCCTGCGAGATTGTACCATTGCATACAGTCTTAACGACCGCAAACGTGTGACATGTGAACTACAGACGGAAATAGTGCGTGATGTTTGAAGTCCAAAATTCCAAAATGAGGGTTTATCGGGCATTGTTCAACATTCCGCAACCTCGATCACGAGGACCAGGACACACATAACGTTAGAATCCGTTCCCTTTTGGTACACATACTCGGCTTTCGGATTGTTGTCGATGCGGTCCAAAGGAACTTCAACAGCCGGGGCCAGCGACCTATTGTGATGACTTTTGAGGCTAAACTCTAACAAGTACTCAGTCGAGGAAGCTGGAATACCATTACTATGATTTACTGAAATACGTTCGGTCCACCGTACTTTGGGCATGCTGAAGCGCGAAACGCGTGAAAAAGAGCACATCTTGATATGCTGTCCAGGGAAATGTTGGTAGCTTAGGTTGTATATATTACTGATGTTCTGTTCACTGAGCCTGTCAGTTCAGTGGCAACTGTTTCGTAATCAGTTGAGATGATGTTATGAGCTCGAGAAAGCTCAACGTTTAAGCCCTTAAAATACGGAACAAAGGTTTATTCGAACGTGATTCGAACCTGAGCCTGCTCCTCTCTAGGTTTGGATGATCTGCCAGCCGTCGTGTGTCCTTAGAGCTGCACGGCAGAAGTGCACTGAATGATCATCACAGGTGGACCGAAAAAGTAGTAAAAAGAGGTGGAAACATCAGTAGGTTGTAATTAGCATTGCGTCTTTTCCTAGCGGTGTAGGGGTGAAGGAACTGAGCAATGCTATACTCGCACTTATACAAGTCCCGTTGGCCGGGGAGATGATACCATTCCAAACGATGAGGAAACACGAGTGTATACCACGTGCGCAAAAAATATGTCACGTATGGTGGACCAGATATATCCCTGCGACCGATGTCAGTCAAACTCCGTCGATCGTGAGATGCTTACTTGTTGATTGTGGTCACGTGGTTGCCACCATCTCTTTCCTCAAACTAACCACAACTATTTGCTGGTCCCACTTGTGGATTTTTCCTGGGCCGTAACGATAATCAGTCAGAGCCGAAATAATTTGTAACGTTATGCTTGGCCTGGTCTTCATGAACAAGGCTGCAGAACATCTAGAAGGGCTTGACAGCCCCCTCCCTCATGTTTGCATTTCGAATTTCAAATGGCATGCACTACGCCCGTCTGTGTATGCGGTTTGATAAAGTTGTGCACACTGGTACCACTCCACAGAAATAGCGTTGGTCTTGCATCGCTATTCGGTATCTAGATGGAACTAAATGTTTTGTCAACGATCGAGGTGGTATCATACGCTTGTGGTGGTTTGACAATAACCTCCACTAAATGGTGCGCTTGTATGAAGGCGATTCGCAATGCACTGTGTATGTTCATGTACCTATGTCTCTCATGGATTCACTCCGGGAGACGTTAGAGGCTGACATATTCGTTTTCTCTAAAACGGATACTCTGTCCCGGACTGTTATCGTTGGGGCTAATAAATTTTACAGATTTTTTTATGTTTGATGCAATCCCTCACTCAAAAAGACAAATCCGAAAGGGAAACGCAATATAGGTTCATTTTTGGGAATAATTTTTAAAGGGGAGAACGACAGTTCTGAAGAAGCACGCTCTTATCATGCTTTGTTTTTGTGTGGCCTGATTTCAAGATGGCCAAACAACATGTTTTTTCATAAGTAGCGCCTTATTGGAGGGACACTATGCCCAAAAACCGTTAGTATTAGTTCTCCCGACATCACACTTGTGTCAGCAAGGAAAAATATCACAACAATATTTGTCCAGCGGCTTTGCCTGGAGCTTTAGAAACCGGTTAGCACTGCAAAAGGGCAATCAACATCTTATCAAAACAGCTGTATTCACAGCCATATCTCTTCTTAATCTAACCATCCAGTGAGTCCTGACGATGTGCACATCTTCCGAGTGCGATCATTGTTGCACGACCGGTTTCTGAATGTTACGCTGCGAGTTGACCGGCGCCAACCTACAGAGCTGTGGTCCTGATACTGCGGTTATCGAAAACCCAGAAGAGTCTCGGTTCAACTGCTGGTAGAGGTCAAGTCTCACAGTCATACAAACAAAACAGTACGTCCCTTGAGATTTAGGTATATACCGCTTTGATACAAAAGGTGTCTCTTGCTTCATCTATCACAACCCAATCTGAACGTACGCAACTTCCTAGTTATGTAAATCGCTGAACAAACCCGAGCACCTCTCCGTGGTTTGTAAATGATTATAGCCCAGGTGTTTTTCTAGCCGAATGCTGAGCCGAAATAGACAAGTGCGTCAAAGTTGGCGTTTCCGAAAAACCTGAATTTGTGCCTTAAGAACATTGTATTTCAGAGACCACGTAACTGAGACCGGTTATGCATACATTACTAACTCTTTATAAAAGTAACATGTCCGATAATAGGTCAGCTGACAACCAATTTTGAACAGTGATCTCACGGATCTTGTTTCGAGTCCCTCAGTAACACCGATAGAGAAACAGCGCAATCCTATTTAGACAGACCAAGATAAAACATTAGAAACTATCAAACTAACCGTGGATTGCATCCTCTTCAACTCTTCCTTAAGAGCCATCTGCTCAGAAATACGTGGTTTGCATCGCATCTTCCAACTGGTTTTAGACTGTTCTGCTTGTTTCGTCAGATTATGTGTGCCTTCTTTAGACACGTGCTTTGAAACGTCTTCGGATTCAGCGCTTTGAGTGGCACCTGAAAATTGAAGTGGCGCAGTAAGCCCAAGATTAGAACCTGCATGTGGAGGACAAAGTGGTGTGCAGTAGTCAGATATGAGTAAACGATAACTTCTAGTTGAGACCAAGATAATTCATTCTTCCCTTAAAAAAACGGACAAATTAATGTGAAAAAGTTTCCTTCCGTTTGGGATTAATGGGTAGTTCGCAACTCGTGGCCGGTGGGGAGATTCGCAAGTGCAAGCTTTTTGTTGATAGTCAAACACTACTGACTTGCAAATAGATATACCCTTCAAGCACACAGGTCTTTAAACACCTCGCTGATGACAACTTCTCATACCTTTTCAGAGCAAGTTGCTCCTAATTTGTACCTCTTGGACTTTCGGCCAGAAGACCACCTGACAATTGCTCCCAGTAAGGATGAAACGACTACAGAGTGCTTCTAGCCTCCTGAGCATAGGTGAATTTCATTCTTGGAGTGTAATCATGCCATTTCGAAATCTCCAGTTTCTCGAAGTATTCTCACTACACACAAGCAAACCTTGTGAATTTTCAAACGAAGCACGATTATTTGCACAATGAAGTAGTTTCATTGCTTCCAACTCCACCATAGCCATTTCTGGTATTCGAAAAGCCTTTACAGCCAAATTTGAAGAGAATACACTTGTTTTCCTTTTCCGGTTTTCTTAATTTCTTACATCCATTCCCACATTCCTGTCTAATTTTCGAGGTTTCTAAAAATCGTGCAATTATCAGGCAGAAACATCCATGAGATTTGAGCCTCCAGTGTTTATTTACTGCCTGATAGCCAGCTGAGAAACCAGAATATTTCATGGAGAGAAGTGTTTGCTTATTGCTTAGTGACTACTAGCAAGTGTCACAGTAGGTAAAAATGAACGCCACTGTTAGGCGAGGTTTTCTGAAGGGAGAGTCTGAATGTGCTCTAGATAGGGCAGTGTTATTTATCATTGATATTAATTTAAATGGTGCAAAGTAAGTCTGAAACCACCAACAACCTACGTGAAAGCGCAATGAAGCCTTTCGCATGTTTTCGATATTGACCGTTTTGCACACAAATTGAAATAGTTGATAAGTCAAAAAGTTTACCTTAACTCTTCTTCCTTGCACCACGTACCACCAATATACACGAAATATAACCAAGCTTCAACACAATTTGATTCTTTTGTTCCGCTCCCTCCAAGAAAGACACTACCAGACCCTTTGAAATTTATAAACGGGACCACGTGGACCCGATTTCTCGGCTGAGATAAATCTCCAAACCTGGCTACTTCGTGTCCATAAGGTCCAAAATCTATGTATCAAGAGTGTATTTGGAACCTGGTTTGGCAGTTTATAACAAGCAATTTCCACCCAAATTCTGTCTAATGACTGCAGTACGTACGGAACGAATCTACCTAAATCACCGATGGACGTAATTGTGGCAGCTATAACCACTGTACGACAACTTCGCGGCTCTTAGAGGTGATAATGATGATGATGGCTATCATTAGAGTTTGCTACCTGACAGAGAAAACGTTTGATGGGTTTTGTACATTGTGAAAATTATACAAAATAGAACACGCAAGTCTACTCTGACGCATGCTTAAAACACGAAAGCAAACTTCATTTGCGAATGTGCTGTAGTCTCAGCACCCATAACGATTGAGGATCTTTCAGCTCTGCATCTTTGCATTATCCCCACGGTAACAGAAGGTAGTCGGTTCACGGACAATAATGGAGAGTTCATAAGGCCAGGTTCTACTGTGTAGTAAGGTTAACCACGATACCTCATTGTCATTTTAATAGACATTTTTTATATTGTTACTTAAGTGTCTTTAGAACACGGACACAAGCTTATAACACCTGCCTGAAGACTTGGCTATAGAGAGCAAAGTTATATTTCTCATACCATTCAAACCTAAGTTTATTTCATAGTATGCAGACTGTCCGCTTGTTGGAGACTCGTTCGTGAGTTACTTAATTTTGAGAAGCACCTACTAATAAAACGTGAATACAACTAGAGAGTATACGGAGTGCTAAGTAACTGTTCCGGAGGGGCACCCTGATGTGAATCTGTCGTCTTTCTACCTATGACAAGATCATAAACGGTTTTAGACCAAGCAAGAATTAATTGGTTTGTAGTCTTGCCCACTTACTTTGCACAGTCCGAATGCATTTAGGGGAGCAGGTCGTTGAGATTTTTAAAATATCTGGTAAACTAAGTAAACAGCAATACGGGCCGTTTGCTTTTCAGCACAGGTGAAGACTACCATATTGGCTTCCATGAACTCGGAAGCAAAAGAAAGTCCGTCAAACAGAATTAAACTATGTCCGAATTTTTCTGACATTTTGGGTACCATTTATGAATAGGAACCCCGAGAGTACACTCTTTTGCATAGCAGTTTGGTTTTTCACGGGAAACTCAGCTAAAGTGGTCATGGCTTTCAAGGAGTTTTCAGCAATCTTTGAGTGACGTCCTTCGTGAAAAGACACCCTGCAGCATTGGATTGTCACTTTCTCACTTATTGCCCATTCAAAGCCAGGGTACAGGTTAGTATTGTGCTCTTCAATAAGTTTACTATTCGGTCCAGCCGCAATGATCTTTTGTGCAATTTATCATCCTTATTAAGCAAAAGCACACTGGGATCTCCTAGCACATGATTGTTTACAAACCGTAATTTAAGATTATAAGACTCCAGATAATGGCCTTCCCGTGTGTTGGTGAGCAAACAAGCGGAAAACGGTTTACACTATAAAGTGAGTACATATTCAACCATGCTCAGCTGGTCAAGTCCCCGGAAACTGACATACACCATGGTGGTCGTGGACATTTTAAGTTAGTTGAATTGTGGAGAATGAGTGATCAAGATGACTAACAAGATGACTAGCAAGATGACTAGGTAAATGTCATCAGTTTCTGACTATTAGACGAACAATGCCCATGGTTGTGGTTGCCCTGAATATTCTGGATGGAAAATCCGTATCAACAGGGATCTCGAAGACTGTGGCAAATATGGGGCTCACGGAATTCAACTTACATTGGATCAATGAGTTCCTTAAATTTTCGGCCACTAAATAAGAACGCTCTCACTGTCAAATGCATACCGCTAACCGTACTATTTCAAATATAGCAGTGAATTGCTGAGTTCCAGCTTTGCCAATATCTTGGCTCACGTCGAGGCATATGTGATAGTAATTGTTCCCTCTGAATACAAAAAATACAGTTTTGAACCACTTCATGACATTCATATTGACTAAGTTTTGAGCCCTAGTGACGTTATATGGCACCGAGAGGATGACCTAGCTCATTTTTCAAAAATTAAAGATTTCAGCTCGTTCGCTTCAACAGGAATAGGCGTGCACAGGGCGTGGATATACTTCAATCAATGTAAGTTATGGGTAAAATCTAACAAATGTAGTCTTCAGAATTCGTGATCACGCTTTATACCAACTATATATGGGAACATCTTTGATACTTGAGGACGGTCTTCAACGGAGGTCTCAAAAGCATACAAAAACCGTTAAGCATGTGTCACTTATCACGAGGCTTCTTGTTGTTTAGGCTAACAACCTAGTAAACATTCTGTTTATACTTACGTTCGACAAATTTCTTTAAGTGCTGAATTCATACAATCTTCGCATTCTGAATTTCAGATCCATAAGTAGCCTATCGATTGCCTATTTTCCTACCGTAAGAAGCCTTTCAGATATATTAGATTCAGTTCTCTTCAATCTATTCGGACGAACGGAAAATTTTTACGATTTCTGGTGACTATGACACTATAATTAATTGCTAACAAGCGCCAAGTGGTGTCTGTAAACAAAACCACTAAACTTAATTACCGGAAGAATGAAACCGAATTACAGGCGGAAAATATTACAAGAACTCCAAGAATGATGAAGATTTATAATTTTTCTACGTGATGTTTGCACACATTGTCTGCATGTTTTTCCTCAATCCAAGTACTAAGCGCTGTCAAGGGGTTGGTTTACAAAAATTAACGATCCCAACCTGGTTATACTGTGCACTAAGAGTACACAAAGGCTCGGAATATGGGATTGTTGTTGCAATAAAGCAAGAATAAGCAGCCAAGTCTAAGAAGCAAATGGCATCCTAAAGATCCGACAAATGACGATAGGCACAGCCCAAACTGATTTGATTGTCGTCTCAGTCTACAACCGTATATTTCCGCACACAAAATTGAGAGTCAAACGATGCGTAAATAGAATTAATATGGACAAAATTGTCCATAAATTGTGCGTTTACGGAAGTTGCTGGTGACAGACCCTTCAAGAGTTCAGAATTGTGCTCAATTTTGGCAGGTATTGCCCTACAACTGTTTTTATGTTCATAGTCTAAGGCCCGGTGGTAGTCTTCCAGAGTAAAGTTTCGTGCCACAGTTTTCCAAATTTCCCAAAAATCTGGAATTAGTTCTTCCTCAATAATAAATTTTTATTGAAAGCCCTACGTTATGAAAACAAAAAAGCAGGAAGACAGTTGGAGTTTGTTCAAGTCTGCTTGCTCTCACTTATAGTCAGTGATCCCGGAGGTCTTTTGTAACCAATCGACAGTCTAATAATAAAAATAAGCTAATAATAATGTCAGTGGCAATCTTGATGTCAGTTTCCTTCCAGACTGTCTGAATGAGTGCTTGGAAATGTAAGCACCTCAAAATGATTGTAGAGAGTTAGCTTTGAGTCATTTCCCCGTTCATTTTTATTCTTTTCTTCGAATAAGGCTTTCAAAAAAATCATGGCTATACGGCAGCAAATCATCAGTGTTAAACACCGATGTTATTTTGTCGATAATGATGATAATTATTTTTATGTCAGAGTTATCACATCTTGTACAGAAAAAAACTCATTTTAGAGGTCTTTTTGTCCGAAAAAGAGTGGCAGGTGATTTGAAACCTCTGTGTTTAAATCAACAATTATTTGTCTTCTTTTGGGTAAATACTCCAAGACCGGCTACATTTTCTGGCCCACAGTAGTATGAAAATGTCAACAAATTCTCAAAATTTTGTTGGTCTTGAGTTTCAACATGATAGATAGGAAATAACGTACGCCTTAAAGTGTCAAGAAAGCCTTCAGTTGTCGTGGAGGCACCGACGTTTTTTACCACAAGGCGTTTTGTGTGGACAGGTTTGTAGTTAGAATTGATGGTTTAAAAACGAAGAAGAGTAGCAGTATTCTCTACAAAATGGAGAGCATCCCTAACACTTCCGTGCGATGAACCTGGCTAAAGTTGGAGTAAATTTGTCGGGAAAAATGCACCATCCTTTGGAACTTAGCGGCGTTAGGAAGCAGACGATTTAGTGCCGTCGGTTAACGACGAAAAAAGACTAAAGTTTCAATTTTGGGCTCCCCTGAATTCCAAAAATCTTTGGACACATTTTTATGCATCACATGTCGGTTACATCAAGACGTTCAGCAGCATTGTTGAAGTTCTCTCGAATGAGAGTTAATAAATTCCTAGTAATAGACCCAGTTAAGTGTAACCAACGTTCAGTTTAGTGTTAAGTAGATTACGCAAATGCTTCAGAAGAACAAAGTGGCTCTTGAGATCTTGAGTCCGGAATGTGTGACAAACACATTCAAAGTTCAGAAGAAAGCAAAGACGGTCGTAATCAGGCTCCCTGGACTAAATTAGGAAGGCTAACAAAGGTCTTGTCGAGATTTCCGCCGTAGCCCAGTTGTGTCTTAAGCGGTAACTAAGAGTCATTGGGCTTGATACATTAAGACAAGAGTGGAAATGACTGGGTAGAATCCAATTAAGTTGTGCAAGTCAATTTATACTCATAAAAAGTAATAAACGTGTCACTGTATTCACTAAACATACAGTACATGTCCTTTTTTTGAACTAAACCTTGGAGACCAGGATGTGAATATACACGTCGGACCAACAGAGATTGGAATTGAGGTCATCCAAATACTTCGAATGGGTTCGATGTGCATGATCTGTCACAAGCAAAGATTTGGTGCACTAAGAACTCTATCAGGCAGGTGTTCAATATAAAGGCTACAGTTGCTAATCTGAGCACTGAAAGTAGCAGCCATGAACACTTGCGCTGCGTCTCATGGTGACATCACCTCCAGTAGGAAAACTAGAAGCTACTTGGAGGCTGAGGATATTGTTACTGATCAAACGATGCTTCACAGTTAAGATTAACAAACATTGCAACAAGGTATTTCCAGCGGTCGTATAGGCTCAGTGCAACTAAGCGGAACACTTTAATTACATCAAACTTCTATGTGCTTCTCAAAACCAAAAGCCTTGTCACGGGCTAAGAAGTTTACCAAGTTTTGAGTTACTGACCACCGCATTATAAACTGTGCTTTATAAGTCTCTACAGAAAGGAGAATATTTGAACCTAAAAAAACCTGGATAGTACTATGTATACAAGAGTTTATATCTGCTTATCCAGCATGAACAAGCCTCCTTGAGGGGGATGTGTTTTAAGAAAACGAGCTTTGGATACCAAAATTGGTGGGGTTTGGGTCGATCAAACGCTGTAAAATAACCATATTTGTGGGAAGGAAAACGTGGTTGTTGGTCTGTACGCCGAGCCTGGCAGTGAGATTGCAAACGTTTCATCAACAATCGAGGTGACATCGTCAGTGCAGGGTTGAGTGGGTGAGGAAAGTGTAAATGATATTGAAAGGAAATACAGAATCAGAATAAACACCTCTAAGCAAATGTTGTCTATGGAAATAAACTAATTCAAAATTAAAATACCTACTAGTTCAGTTTTGAGGATTTGTAACATTTTTGCCTGCTTAATTTGTGTGCTTTGAAATACAAATTAAGTGTCTCAAGCATTTGATTACAACTACCTTACAATGCCTGTAATGAAATCAAACAAGCCACCATACCTAGCAAATCATACTAGAAGTTAGTTTAAAACAATTTGCCAACAATATCACCGATTAAGGAACTGATCCATGCATACAAATCTCCAGCACCAGCTGTAATCCACCGATTACTACTAAAAGTAATATGGGAATTGTTTTTGGACTAGAGCCACACTAATTACTATAAGGAGTGTAACAAAGGTATGATGAAAAATTGCTAACCAGTTGGTTTAACATTTTTGGAGCACATCATGAAGGTAAGGATAGAATAGATGTCCAAAAAACATTAAAGACCGGTGCAGTAGCTTGATAATACAATTGCATCACTTCATGGATAACAGCTCTTTCACCATAAATTTACTGGCAACCTCAGAAGATTAAGTGAGACATCCAGTTACAACTCGAGACTGTCACAAAGGTTGCTGCCATATTTGCTAACCTAACTGTACGAGCACATTATTCTATCGATGACACCTTAGAATTTAGGCGTATTTTGTCTTGTTGTATTAGCCCAGGATAAATATCTAGCCTTAGTTATAAGCAACCGCCATTCATCCTACACGGCGACAAAATTCAAAAGTGTATATTGTTGAGGGATCCTTCATTAAGGATTAAAACTTGCAGCGGGTGATAAACCTGGACGGAAAACTGAATGAATACTGGTAGGGCACAAACGCTCTGTTGAAATACAGGGAGTGGCTAAATTTTCCAGTAAACGCGCAGAAAATTATCTAGTTTCACGCTTGACCAGAAACAGATGCACTGATCTACCTGAGTAGCTGACTGATACTTGTGAAAAACAACAGTTTTTGGTTCGCGGCTAACGCTTCAAGACACACGGTCTTTTTCAGCAGGCAACAAAACGAGTAGTAGTACTTAGTCTTTTTTTAGCTTTCTTCGTTTATTGGGCGTAGAATTTTATGCAAGAGTCTATGAACACCTTGGTATGTTTCTATAGTTTCGAGATATGATTTTTTTATTTACTCGACAGAATTACTCACTGGGAAGCGAGCAGGGACTAGCTAACAGGAGTGCTGAAAGACCTGTTTCATGCTCACACTGCAGAAAAACCTGCCGAAAAATATTAAACGTTAACTGCATATGTTTTCGAGATTTTCTTCCTTCTTCGTTCCAGTAGGTGATTGAACCATAAAGACACACTATTCCACGTTGACGGCAGCAGAATATGGGGGTGTAAACTGTTTACTTACTATCAGCCAGGGCTGAACATGTGTAGATTAGTGATTTCAACAACCATCTTGAATTTCAAATGCACGTTTCGTCTACGGAACGATTCAATGTCTTGCAGAACAACCATTAATGATGTGACTTCTATAACGGTTTCCATAAACTTTATAAAGTTTATGTGAACATTTATGTTCACAAATTATGTCCCACAATTCTTGGTACGGACGATATCAGTTTTAAACTAGAAGGCCTCGTCTACGGATCATCATCATCATCATCATCATCATCATCATCATCATCATCATCACCATCATCATCATCATCATCACCATAAGATGACAGTGACATTGGTAATGGTGTCATTACCTTCAAAAGTGCACCATCCGGGGAAGTCAACCTTATTCATCTAACCACCCATGTGTTCCGGGTTCCTTTTTCTGGAGATGTAACATAACTAACCTGTTATCCCATGTGCCTGTGTAATTGGTTTCCCATGAAGAAAGATATCCTGTTTACTCAAAAGGCCAATATCTTCAACCGACATCCCAGTTGAACTTGAAAATTTTGAGGAAATTTTATCCTGATCTATCAAGAGCCTGTAATCATTAACGAGCTTTGCTTGTTCGTGTCTTGGAAGCTTCGCTGAATCCATAGCTTCTTTAAGCGATCGTATTCCGTTGACCACCAAGTCATAAGCTTGATTATCCTAACAGATAGCCGAAAAGACTAAGAAGTTACCTCCTCAATTTGACGGACAAAATCTTGATGTGCCAAATCATCGCTTTTTTTCGAAGTTGAGAGGAAAGTGGCAGTATCATAGTCGAAAATTTTTTTATTGTCGGTTTTGAGCAATAAACCAGGGAACCAACTGGAAAGATCTTGTGAATAAATTTGTGCGGGTTTTCCTCGCTGACATGATCGAAACTCGTCCATCACGTTGCGTATTCAAAAACGCAATATTGATGGTGTTATGGAAGATAAAATGTAATGACATATTAAAACAAAAAGACCAATCGGTTAGCTCCCCAATCAGGGAATGATAAGCAGTTGAAAGGATGTCGTTGTAGAATGTTTCACACCATTTGTGGTAAGAACGTGCACCGTAGTCGTTACTCTTCTCCTTACAGTGACTACAGACAGCATTCCCACTGATAACTTGTGGTTTGTCGAGACCATGAGTATCCTTCTGTCTAGACCAATTTTTTTTACTCCCGCGTTTGCACTTTTTAAAGTTTTCTTATCCAAAAGATACACACGATTACATGGTGATAATTATGCACCTCTTTTTCTACCATTCCAATAGTCACCCGGAAGCCAATGATCGGGCTTGCGCAGGCACATCGTGCTGCCTGCTTTAAACAATCCAAGGGTAAAGTTTAGAAATCGTTTATGATAAAGGATGGGATGTTTCTTGATTGCTTACATATATACGTGTGAATTCTGCAGATGCCCGAGTGATCATCAGCATTTCAGGGCACATGCATCGGTGCTGGGATGCTCACGTGTGAGGCGCATTCCACACCAATATGGCGACTGCGCTGAGATGAGCGGGAGGCTTGCTCACGAAAACCCGCCGGTAGGTATACAATGCGTGTTGCATTTATTCGTTCAACTACTACCTCAGATTGCACTCGAATGTGTCAGTGCTAGACGGGCGAAAACCATCGATATCTGATTGTCACTGGGATCACCATACCACACCGGTGCCGAAATGGATATTTACGAATAAGTTCAATTGAACTGCGGGTAAGGTGCTCTGTTGCGGTAGTTCGTTGCAACGGCTTGCGTAGGTCAGTGTTCTATTGGGCTACACTTGACTGCACCACTTCCTACCCCGTAAAATAATGTATTGGTTCTGAAAGCAGTTTCTTGCGTATAGGGTTCGGAGAATGTGACAGCTTATCCCTCAAGTTACGCTACTACAACAGCGTACGGTCGACTCTCGCTGTCTTCTGTTCGGGCTTTTGAGGCGCCGGCCCCAATGGCTTATCCTTTCAACTTTGGAAACATTGCGCACTTTCTTAGCGTACCTGTGGTCGTGAAACCCACATAAAGATATCCATAAGCTAAACAAAAAGGGGTCGCTCTTCTATTGTATGCAGAATGGCCTACGAACGGAAACATGAAAAAGCTTGCACGTTTAGTCGCTATTCATACTCACTCATAAGTATTCGTTCTGCTCGTCACCAGCACCTGCGTATAGATCCTAGCTGCAAGCATCCAGCCAGTCGCTAAAGGATGTGTGTCGTTGCTTGCCACTATACACGCCTGCCGACTTGCGTCTTCCATCTAGTCATGCTTTCCTAACTTTTATGGGTGCGAGCTGGTAAGTGATTGGCTAACAGGGTGCTTTTGTATTTGCATGACACCTTACATTCCAGGACTCCGAGCGCAACACCAAAGCTACGCGGGTTAATATAAAGAAAAATTAATCCTCAGACACTAGCAAATACGAAACGTGGGTTTCTGTGACCGCCGCAGTTGGGCGGATGGTGACAGCACTTAGCTGGCATGCAGTGATTCCCTGTTTAACTGAAGATCAAAACAGCTGGGCACTCGTCCACTCACATAAGAACTGGCACAGACCGATCTGCCGGTCGCCTTTAATTACAATCTTCTCATACGCACCCAACGCTTTTAGTCCCAATTCGGTGACAGGTGCTGTTTGTCGAGAGTCACCCATTCTCATATTCATCGCGAGGTGCTCATAACCGGTTCTAAAGGTTAGGATATTTACTGCACATATTTGTCTTCTACCCCATTAACGGCAAAGTACTTTGGCGTAAGTGGTTTTTGACAAAACCTGATGATGATGGTGACCTCCTTTTAAATTTGTATCGATCACCAGCTGTTTTACGCTAGCTCTGATTTTATAGATGGCGCGCGGCTATACCACCTTGCACCGCCATGATGTTGAACAACGAGGGTGTGGTAATTAAGTTTCGTACGTATATCGGTACAA